GTTCTGCTCAGTTAGCAGCATCTCATGACATTCCCCTCTGTCTGTCCGTTGCAGGATGGAGAACATTTTTACATACTGGTGAGTGCCTCTGAGGTTCCCTCAGACATCAGCTTTCTCCCCACTAGCCAGCTAACAGGACTCCTTAGAGGAGAAGAGCAGGGGGCCCAGTGCTAGGCGGGGACAGCAGGGAATGGGGGTCAGTTCATTAACAGTGCCCCCGCAATGATGCATCACAGCTCTTCTCTCAGGAAATCCCGGCAGCTCTCAGTCAACCCTACGGTTTACATCTCAGGATCCGTTCTCTTTTGGAATAATTGAATGTGTGATTACCGGAGGTTTCCCATATATAGTAGCCTCCCCAAGAGTTATACTTGAGTGTTTTTTGCTCTTTGATCCTGGATCAATTTGAAAGAAGACAATGCTGTCTTAGCAATTGATATACTAGAGACAGTGGAGACTATTCATAGTTGAAGGCCCCTGTGGGGAAAAGGCTATAAAGGTTCGCAATAAACCTGACAGAATGGTATACAAATAGGTGGCTAGAAATGCCTTTCTGCTCCTAAGAGACCACTGACGCTCTGTGTATAGCCTGCCAGGGGAGGGGGAGCCACAGGTGAGTTGGAGAGCACAGAACCCAGTTGCCCGCTCCCAGTGCACACTTCCCATCTTGTGAGTCAGCCCCTCTGCCCGTAAGCACCACAGAGTCCCAGCTTTACCAGATACCATGGCACAGGGACCTTTCCTCTTTAGGTGAATTTCAAAATTGCCACTGTCAACTTGGGACAAAAATAACAAGTTGTCACAACCAGACATGTCACCATGGGGAATAGAGGAAGTCATTTTAACGCAACAGAAAGGTAGACTGAATAAGTAAGAATAAATGCAGGTGGGAGAGGCTTGCAGAATGCCTGGAGTCTGAAGCATTTCTTGCACCAACAGGAAATGTACCTAGGTCGGTACATACATTTCTTATACCTACGTATACATTCTTTCCCCAGTTCCTTTATCCCAGTTTCTTTCCTTTCCTGTTCAAACCGCTTTTCCCCTGACAGCATCTTTTTTTCCTCTTGGAGTTTGTTGATCCAGTAGATACATGGAAGTCATATCTTCAGATATCAGACCCGTGTTGTTGAAGCAAAACTGGATGGAAATACTTTCTCCTTACCTTTGCCTACAGACCCCACAGGCAGCAGGTTTTTTGGGGGGACATTTATTCTCCTTCTTTATCCTTGAAGGGTGCGTTGTCAGTCATCTAAATCAGTTGTCATCTGGTAAAAGGAACACATAGGACCAATGAAGAGACACTTTACCCTCCAGGACAGTGTGAAGGGAAAGACCCACCTTAGTTGATCCATTGAGGAGAGAAGGAGCGGGACATAAACTCACTGTACTGGTTTGAGCCAGGTTGGAAAGTTTCTAAATAAAGAAAGTCCCAGAGATCATAGGTCTTGAATAGAAAAGGGAATAGATCTTAGAATACTGAGAGAAAATGTGAATGATTAATTTGGGCTCATTTCATAAACTCTCTGGATTTCATAGAGGCTCAATTTTTCTCAGCCTAAGAGTGCTGCTTCTGTCTTTGGAGTGATAGAAGTGCATCTTCAGAGGCCAGGTATGGTGGCTCACACCTGTAATCCCAGCCCTTTGGGAGGCTGAGATGGGTGGATCACCTGGGGCCGGGAGTTCAAGACCAGCCTGACCAACATGGAGAAACCCTGTTTCTACTAAAAATACAAAATTAGCTGGGCATGGTGGTGCATGCCTGTAATCCCAGCTACTCAGAAGGCTGAGGCAGGAGAGTCGCTTGAACCCAGGAGGTGGAGGTTGTAATGAGCCAAGATTGTACAATTCTGCTCCAGCCTGGGCAACAAGAGCTAAACTCCGTCTCAAAAAAAAAAAAAAGTGCAGCTTCAGTAATTCTTAGGGTGTGAGCTGCCTAGGATCAGGGGGCCTTCATGGAAATGGCCCCACATGGGATCCCCCTGCAGCTTTCTGAGGCCTCTTTGGGAACCAGGAACCACACAATCCCCAGGGTTCCTGAGACCCCAGGCCTAAACCCGAGACTTCCTCTGTAGCTAATGTGGTCCTGGACCCAGACACTGCTCATCCTGAGCTCTTCCTGTCAGAGGATCTGAGAAGTGTGAGGCGGGACCCCTCCAGGGAGAGCGTGCAGGACAACCCAGAGAGATTCGACAGTCAGCCCTGTGTCCTGGGCCGGGAGAGCTCGCCTTTGGGAAACATTACTGGGAGGTGGAGGTGGAAAACGTGATGGTGTGGACGGTCAGGGTGTGTAGAGACAGTGTTGAGAGGAAAGGGGAGGTCCTGCTGCTTCCTCAGAATGGCTTCTGGACCTTGGAGATGTGTGAAAGCGAATACTGGGCCCTGACCACACCTAAGTGGATTCTCTCTATGGAGGAGTCCCTTTGCCGGGTAGGCGTCTTCCTGGACTATGAAGCTGGAGACGTCTCCTTCTACAACATGGGGAACAGATCACACATCTACACATGCCTCCGTTCAGTCTTTTCTGTGCCTGTGAGGCCCTTCTTCAGGTTAGGGTCTTATGACATCCCCATCTTAATCTGCCCCACCCTCGCAAGAGCC